TTCCCATGTAGATACATCAAAGCAAAAGCAGAAACAATGCAGGAAATACAGAAACATTATCAATCCACACCAATTTGTGCTCCCCCTCCCCTTAGTTAGCAGTGTTCCGAAGGGACCTGACATACTGCTCCTAGAAGAGAAGATCCACCTGGAGAAGAGAAAAATAACAAAGGGGGAAAAAGAAATAGTGGCTAGGTGTTTATTTAGGTTTATCAGGGTAATGGTCATGAAAGCATTTAATTACTCTAGGGCAGGGCTTTTCAACCAGTGGTACGGGTACCACCTGTGGTACATTGGCACTTGACAGGTGGTACGCAACTATCCTAGAAAAGTAGCAGGGGAGGGGAGTGAGCTGAACCGGTGGCAGCACCACACAAACCTGAGCGAGAGATGGCTGGAGCTGCAGGGCTGTCAGGGCTCAGCGGAAGCGCCAGGATCAGTGCCGCTTTCCAGCTGATTGGTGCTCCTTCGGGGCTGTCAGGGCTCAGTGGAAGCGCCAGGATCAGCGCCAGATTCCAGCTGGAGCTCAGCGCTGATCCTAGTGCTTCTGCTGAGCCCAGAAGCACCAATCAGCTGGAAAACAGCACTGATCCTGGTGCTTCTGCTAAGCCCAGAAGAAGCACCGATCAGCTGGAATGTTGCAGCATCTCCAGAGTCTTGTGATTTACATTTAGATGCTTGGCAACTGATTCATATTTATGATGGTCACAGTGTCCCAGGGTCATGTGAAGTGACCAAAACCTGCTGCAACCAGCCAGCAGACGGGGGGGGGGGGGAATAAAAACCAAACACCCCCACCCCACCCCCGCTGGCAATCCTCAACAGAAATGCTCACAAAAATGAAAACCTCGGACAGGAGGAAGAGCACCGCCGGGTGAGCAGACAGGTGTCTTGCTTGGCTGTGGCTTGGGGGGCACTTTTCTCAGTGCCACTATAACTTCGACAGTCACTAAGTCGAGGACTACCTGTACTTTATCACTTTTTTCCTTTTTTTTTTGGTCATCAAGTTTTTGACACCTTGCTAGGCGACTGGTGGTACTCGGATATTGCCATATCCTGAAAATGGTACAATGGGCGAAAAGGTTGAAAAGCCCTGCTCTAGGGGCTTTTACATGATTCTTTTGCGTCCACTCAGGCTGAGCCCCAGGGAGATCTTTCCACATTACTAGGTACTGGGTGACTCCCCAATGTGTGCGTGAGTCTAGGATTTTCTTAATCTTGAAATGCTGTTCTACCTCCACCATAATAGGCTCCAGGACTGGAGGGGGGTGCCAGCCTTAAGGGCGAGACCACTTCTAATTTAAGGAGACTGCACTGGAACACTGGGTGGACTTTTCTCAGTGATTTTGGTAATTCTAATTCCTCCATGACTCTCAGCTCGGAGTTCTCACAACCCTTTCACACCTCTGGATTGGTTCTCTATGGACTGGGCAGTTGGGAGGGGTTTGACCAATGGGATTTAACCTAACGTTTGTGCGGGAAATTTAGATCCTGCCTGCTTTCTCTGCAATCACTATCTCAATAAAAGATCCTTTGAAATGCTGTCTGCTTCAAGAGTTCGACTTTCTTTCTTTTTATTTATAAATTTTATTAGTTTTTAAAACATAAATTACATAATAGTCAATTAACAGTGTGTTTGCTTAGTTTACATGTTCAACTTTCTTGAGGGAATAGCTGAGGCGAGACCTTACAGCAGCATTCCAAAGGGACCTGAAAAATCTATTATATTTCACTTGCACAAAGTCCACAACAGCTTCTGGTTTACCAAGTCACAACAATCATTGTCTCTGGCCATCCAGGATCAGATATCTTTGATTGATTCTTACTGTATTTCCCTGAAAGGGCTACCCCGAAAATAAGCCCTAGCTTGATTTTTAGGGGTGGGCCTAATATAAGCCCTACCCCCAAAATAAGCCCTAGTTTTGCTGTGAGGCACACACTTAAAAATCAAACTAGGGCAGGGGTAGGGGTTTGGAGCTGCCCCACGTGCCCCACACCCAGTATCTTGCAGCCAGGCCTCTCCTTGCCGGCCCACTTCTTCTGCGGTGTCTTCTGCAGCCAGGCCTGCATTTCTCAGTCACAGGCCTTTCCAGAAGGCCTGTGCAGCCAAGAACTGAGCTATGGATTCAATCCATAGCTCAGTTCTGCAAGACCTCTGCAGCCGACGACTGAGCTATGGATTGAATTCATAGCTCAATACTTGGCTGCATAGGCCTTCCGGAAAGGCCTGACTGCAAAATGCAGTCTGGAATGCAGCTGCAGAATGAAGCTGCTCCTTTGGCCCAAGAAGAAGTGGACCTGCTGGGCGGGCCTGTCGGTGCCAGAGGTGAGTAAGACATCCTCTGAAAATAAGAACTTTTTTTGCCTCCTTTTGGAGGCAAAAAAAAAAAAAAAAAGACCTGGTCTTGTTTTCGGGGAAACATGGTAATAGTAAGGCTTTTCTTTAACATGTTAAACGAGATCTTTTTTAGCAATTGGATTTTATTCCCCCATAACACAAGTCTTTGTTTTGTGTATTTCCACAGCATTTGTTGTATAAAAAAGTCTCCTATAAATTGTAAGATAACATCTCTTAACATTTGTTTTCTGATTGGATATAATAAAACCACTCAGTCTTCTTAGAAAAGTTGAGTTTATCACTAGTCAGTTCTATCAACTTTGAGTCTTTACAATCCATGCCTTTCTCGGAATCCTCTAACCAGCTTGTATTTTCCCAGTCACCTGCATTTTCAGGGCTGCCGGCAGCAAGTTACATTCTTAGCCGCCTAGTTTTAATTCCTCTTGTAGTGCTTCACTGATATCTGATTACCAGATTTTAAAATAGATAGTTAACAAAGAGTTTATCAAGTTTTTTTTATCCAAATATTCAAGCTGAACGTGTAAGTTGGAAAATATTTTTTCTGCCCAGCTTTCCTAGTAAGTGTTGTCTTGATATATTGCTTGCATTTTGACTATATTTTGATATACAGTAGTCCAAAATACTTCAGTAGTAAAACTTTTACAGGTGGAATGTTTACAGCCAGCCATAAACGGCTCCTCTCAAAGACAGGAAAACACTGTAACAATTAGGCCCCCAAAACAATGAAAAGAGCTTTTAGCAAAAAAAGAGAGATTTTTATCAGAAATTAATAAAAATTAAGACCAGAATTTTCTTAATAAATTTATAAAATATAAAATCCCTGTATGATATTAATATTTATTGTATTTATAGAATACAATATCCCTGTAAGTATGATATTGTAAGTACGATATCAAAAGTGTGATATTGATGTAAATCAAAACAGATCTCTTTCACTTCACTAAGTTGCTTTATGAGTGTGAGATATTCTTTTATAGTTTGTCTGTAAAAATGGTTATAAAATTGGCATGTTAGCAATGGATCATTAAAACATTAGGAAGAAATTAAAATTCAGTTCATGGCTATTACTCCCACAGTAGTGGACACAATAACAATCTTTCTGTATAGATCTCCTCATATGAAATATGCTGTTAAATATATTTTCAGTTAATTAACAAGGGATCACTATTTTCTTTTTTTAGTAGTAGAAGAGGTTGACAGGTTTTAGCTGGTCTCTGTGGTTAACTATAGATATTTACAGTTAAAGAATGCATTCATATAGGCATCCTTGAGTCAAAATCACAATTGGGACCAGAAATTCTGATGCTAAGCAAGGTGGTTGTTAGTGAGTTGTGCCCAATTATACAACCTTAGTTATCACAGCTGTTAAACAAATCACTGCAGTTGTCAAGTGAATCACACATTGGTCATTAAACGAATTTGACTTCACCATTGACTTTGCTTGTTGGAAACTATCTGGGAAGATCACAAATGTTGATTATGTGACTCCAAATGCTGCAACCTTTGTAAATATATGCTGGTTGTCAATTGCCCAAATTTTGATCACATGACTGGAGATGCTCTATCAGTTGTAAATATGAGGACCAGTCATAAGTTACTTTTCCAGTGATATTGTAACTTTGAATGGTCACTAAACAAATGTTTGTAAATGGAGGACCATCTTACTATGAGACCAAGCGTATGGCTCATCCCAGCTGAGATGAGAGCCTATCTGTTTGCTGTAGAATCAAGTTGACATGAACTCAGACAACAGCATATTAAACTGTAAGCACAGGCATGCCCATGAGTTTTGCCAGGACAAAATTTTCTGGGAAATCTGGTAAAGAGGGATATTCCACAATATGCTAGAACCACTTTGGTTTATTTATTCACCTGATGCCAAAATCCTAGCACAGCCCATGCCCACCCCGGATCCGCAAAGGCAAAAAACATCGTGATATGTCATGATATGTAAATGTGACGCAATCGAGTTTGATATCTGTGAGATGTGGCAGTAAAATAAATAATGCTTGGTTCTTGAGAGAGAAGGTTGATCATGTTGTATTAAAAAGGTTTGTTATATTTTAACAATAGGGAAAATGTCTTTTCTAGGAAATCAATTCATCTGTAGTAATTTCTTCTGAAAAGTGATGCAGAGATTTTCATGAGGGATTGCTTTTGTGTATTCTATTCAGTATTCATTTGTAATATGTAATTTTTTAAAGCTTGTATGCAGAGCTACATTATGGATTTTTGTTTGATATTGTAAACTTTCTTAGTGTTTTCTATTTTAGATGGAGCTCTCTGCAAAAGTTACAATAGTCAGGGTGACAATAAATTCCTCTTATTTGCATTTTTATTAAAGGTGAGAGTTTATCATATAGTGAGTAAGGTGTGAAGCAATAGTAGATATGGCTTTTTCCTGAATCAGGCAGGTGTAGCCATTCTGGTATCGAGGCTGAGGTGATTCACAGAGGCACTTATGAAACTGGGAGTGGTTTTTTTTATATTCAGGAAGAAACGGGGGTTCATAATTATTTTATTCTGTAGAGACCTGTATATAGCTACAGCAGCTGCATGCTGCTTTGCGTAAAAATTTAAACAAGTTTTCTTGGGTAGAACTTTGCTGTTAACGATCTGTTTTCTTTGCTTTCTTTCAGTCTCATCAGAATTCAAAATGCAACAGCTGGTTTCTTGTCTGGGTGTATGGTTTTTCCTACAGCTTCCCAACCTTGGTTCTGGAACACGTGTAGTCTACAAAGTACAGGAAGAGCAGCCACCCAATACACTCATTGGAAGTCTGGCAGCAGACTATGGCTTCCCAGATGTAGGGCATCTCTATAAATTAGAAGTGGGTGCCCCCTATCTACGTGTTGATGGCAAGACTGGTGATATCTACACCACAGAAACTTCCATTGATCGGGAAAGCCTGAGAGAGTGCCAGCACTTGTTCCCAGGAGATCCTTGTTTTCTGGAGTTTGAGGTTTCTATCACAGACCTGATGAACAATAGCCCTCGCCTACTAGAGGGACAGATTGAAGTGATGGACATCAATGACAATACACCCAACTTTGCATCTCCTGTCATCACACTAGCCATTCCTGAAAATACCAACATTGGTGCACTTTTCCCTATTCCATTGGCCATGGATCGTGATGCTGGTGCCAATGGTGTTGCTTCCTATGAGCTCATGCCTGGTTCAGATGCCCAAAAACTTTTTGGCTTGCAAGTAGCAGAGGATCAAGATGAGAAACAGCCACAACTAATTGTAATGGGAAACCTAGACCGAGAGCAGTCAGAGTCCTATGACTTAACTATCCGTGTTCAAGATGGGGGTAGCCCACCTCGTGCTAGCAGCGCTTTGTTGCGAATCACCATTCTGGACATGAATGATAATGCACCGAAGTTTGAGAAACCATTGTATGAGGCTGAACTTTCAGAAAATAGTCCTATTGGTCACTCTGTACTGCAGGTGAGCCCTTTTTCAATAGAAGAGTCTAAACATACATAATTCTGGATTTAGAGTTTGAGTACCTATTAATTTCAAAATATGAAAAGGATGATGTATTTAGGTATTTTACATGTGTTACTTATTACTTTCCTAACATTTTAGAGACAAGATGTTATTGGATGTTTGGATTAGTCAAAAGCTTTTGCAAACAATACTCCTGGAGGATGGGAGCTGGAAAAATGAGTTAATTTCTGCAGTCAAATTCACTGGAATTAATGGGGAGGGAAAAGCATATATTTTTCCTTTTTCTCAACTTCTGATCATATAGTTTACTGTTCCAATATCACTTACAACTACTAGTGCCATCAACAATAGCACTAGATTCCACCTGGTTACATCAGAAGGCAGGGCAGTAAGATTCCATCCTTCAGCATGACAGAGATCAGCCATTGTTTTCCTGATAACCAATTCCATTAAATATGGTTTTGTCTTTTGCATTATTTTTATCACACTATAAATGTAAATATGGGTAAATATTTCTCCTCTGAGGCTTATATATTCAGGAATAATAAATATTTTTGGCCAGATAAGAAATGGTCTTAGTTGACATTGGAATTAAGGAGAAACTTCCTAATAGTGAGGACAATTAACAGGTGGAACAGCTTGCCATCAGAAGTTGTGGGTGCTTCATCACTGGAAGTTTTTAAGAAGAGATTGGACAGTCAGTTGTCTGAAATGGTATAAGGTCTCCTGCTTGAGCAGGGGGCTGGACTAGAAGACCTCCAAGGTCCCTTCCACCTCTATTCTGATTGATTGACATTTGGCTAAATCAAAGCCATCTTTTCCTATCTTAAATCATTACCACAATCAGTGCTTTTTTTGTAAAAACAAAAGGTGCCGGAACTCACACATGTCATACAATCCGCCTTGTCTACCCTACAAGGTTCTATCCAAAAAAGGTGCCGGCACTCAATTCTGGGCGTTCTATGACAAAAAAAGCTCTGACCACAACTACTCCTTTCTTAGTGATTTTGAGGCATAGACATTATGTGGGGATAACTTTAACTCATCTTACTCACTTATCCATATTCAAATCCATGAACTGAGCCCTCCATTCATACACTTAAATCTTTACATGTTTAAGAGAACAAAAGGGCAGTCCAATCCTCTGCTCAAGCAAAAGACCCTATACCATTTCAGACAAATGGCTGTCCAATCTCTTCTTAAAAACCTCCAGTGATTAAGTAGTCACAACTTCTGGAGGCAAGCCATTCCATTGAAAAATTGTTCTCATCGACAGGAAAGTTTTCCTTATTTCCAGGTATAATCTCTCTTTGATTAGTTTCCATCCATTTCTTCTTTTTTTTTTTTTTTCCAGAAAATTTTTTTATTATTTTCATCAATACAGAAAAAAAAAAGTTTTATACATCACAAGTAACACATATTTCTAACCCCTCCCCCGAGACTTCCCGAACCAATCCCAGGATAATATTCAACTACAAGTAAGCATATATCAACATCTCTAACTCCTCCAAATATATTGACCTACATAAACCGGTGAAATATATATATAATAAAAAATAAAAAAAAACAAATTAATTAAAAACCTAGATTATATTCCACCACTCTATGCTTCTTTTGAATATAAACAATCC